CCTGTAATCCTGCGCCTTTGGGAGGCTGAGGTGAGTGAATTGCCTGAGCCTGCGGGTTCACACCCGCCTGGGCAACTTGGCAAGACCTCATCTCTACAATAAATAAAAAACCAGCCAGGTGTGGTAGCGCATGCCTGTAGTTCCAACTACTTGGAAGGATCACTGGAGCCCAGCAGGTCGAGGTGACCGGGAGCGGCCACTGCACTCCAGTCTGGGTGACAGAGTGAGACTCCCAACTCAAAAAAAAAAGACCACTACTTAGACCAAGCGCGTTGGCTCACGCCTATAATTCTGGCACTTTGGGAGGAAGAGGCAAGAGAATTGTCTGAGCCCAGGAGTTCAAGACCAGCCTGGGCAACTTGATGAGACCTTATCTCTACAATAAATCAAAAAATTAGCTGGGCGTGGTGGTGCACACCTGTAGTTCCAGCTACTTGGAAGGCTGAGGTGGAAGGATCACCGAGTCCAGCAGGTGAAAGCTATGGTGGCTGTGAGCATGCCACTGTACTCCCGCTTGGGCAACAGAATGAGCCTCCGACTCAAAAAAAAAAAAAAAACCAAACTAGTACTTGTAGTATAGTTTTTTAAAAATGCATGCATTAAGCAAAAAGCAAAAGTTCCTTCCTCATCATGAGGCATCCCATTACTAAATGTCTGAGCATACTTCACTGGAGTTTCTGTGTGTATACGGTCATTTCAACGTGTACGTGTGTGCATATGTATATGTGTTTATACATTTGTATGCATTTATTTTTCTTTCCTTTAACAAATTGGTCCTTGCCTGGTATAGTGGCTCAAACCTGTAATTCCAGTACTTTGGGAGGCTGAGGTGGAAGTATCATTGAGCCCAGGAGATTCAGATTCCAGACCAGTCTGGACAATACAGCAAGACCCCTTCTCTAAAACAATTAAATTAAAAAATTAGGCCAGGGGCAATGGCTCAAGCCTGTTATCCCAGTAGTTTGGGAGGCCATGGTGAGAGGATTGCCTGAGCACAGGTTCAAGAACAGCCTGGGCAACTTGGTGAGACCTCATTCCCTGCAATAAATCAAAAAATTAGCTGGGCATGGTGGCACGTGCCTGTAGTTCCAGCCACTCGGAAGGCTGAAGCGGAAGGATCGCCGGAGCCCAGCAGGTCGAGGCTGCGGTTGCCAGGAGCGGCCACTGTACTCCAGTCTGGGTGACAGTGAGACTCCAACTCAAAAAAAAAAAAAAAAAAAGAACATAAAATCTAGAATCCAAATAGTGTAGGTTAACAGCACTGCCTAGAACAAGATTAAGCCTTTAAGGACCAAAATACCACTAACAAGTTAAGTCAAGTGACAGGTTGAGAAGAAACAGTGGCCAACATTTCAGGGAACCCTTATAACTCAAGATAAACAACCCAGGAGAAAAATGGGCAAAGGGCCTGAAAAGGCAATTCAGAAAACACAAAGCCAATGATCTGAAGTATCTAGTCTATGAAGAAATGCAAGCACAATCT